TATACTTATATATACATTGCTCGGTTGTTGCCATTCATGTATTTGGTATATTAAATCATTTGTTATGAACAATTGTCAGTCTATCTAATGTTTTATACACATTATGGGCGCAAATATATCAATTGGACAACAACCTTTTATTTATTAGATATTGATCTTTCTAACAATTTGTTAAATCATTAAAACAGGTTTTAAAGGTTATGAATGACAATTAAAAAGTGTGTGAGCATTAAAATTAAATACAAAATAAACTTTAACTAATATGGTTGATATTACTATATTAAGTATGTTTTTATCATCTTTGTTAGGGGTGTACATTATCTAAGGTGTTCGTCTTCCTTATGGCTACATTCATTTCTACATTACGTCTACAAACTAAGTTTTGTCAAGTAAAATACAAAAGACGTAGTTTTTTTTATAAATAACATAATGTAGTGTTTTTCATTCTTTACTTTTTATCTTTAGTTTTATCATAATTTTTCCTACTTGTGAGCTAGAAGATTTTAAATGTGATTTTCTATTCATTTTTTAAAGTAAACTGAAACTTGTTTTTACCCTTTTTGTCGAGGTTTGATTATTCTACTTGATAATGTTCTTTGTTTATAAGAGTACAAATGGATTTTAAAAGATGAAACACTTAGAATTAACTTTGCCAACTTATAACGTTCTTTCGTTTTCGCACTTTGCCAATATTGATGAATTGAATTAATATAATCAAATATAATATGTGTTTTATCTATTCAAATACAATTGATACATTGGTTTATTTTTATTCTTTATCAACCTTTAATTACAATGTATATAATATGGTACGAGCTAGTGTGCCTGTTTATGAACTACAAGGATATAATACATATCATACTAATGCCCCTAAGCACCAGTTTCAGGCCACTTTCGCAGTAAAAATGAAAGTGCCACTTTGATTTTTCTGAAGAGGCTTATAATAACAGAAGTACATGACATTGTGATTTACAATAACAGTTTTTTTACATCTTGGAATTGATAATATAATTTTACATAATTTGTTCTTTATTTGTTTGAAATGATGAAGCATACACGAGGATTTTTTGAAATAGTAATAAATTGTTGATCGCTTCCTCACCTTTATGTTTAGCAACCAAGATAATCATTTCGTATTGTCCATTCATACTTGATTATAAATATTTACAAAAGCAAAAAGGTCATATTGAATGTTTTAATAATGTAAATCAATTATCTGATATCTACGGTAACATGATATTCTGGTCTGATTCAGCTTTTGAAAGTTTATGCTAATTTGAAAATTCTATCAGCTACTATGTTCTGCATAATTAGCAGTAATAACTTATTTATTATTATTACCCCTCACTTTTTTCGTAATGTTAATTTCCCATAGGCCTCTGGGAGTTATTCTTACTGTTAATGCAAGTGTACCACGTGACTACGAATTTTGTACTGTTACATAGGTAACAGTATTTTTTAACAGTATAAAATCTGGTCACGTGGTCTATTTTCTAAATAAAATGAAATAAAATGGCCGCCATTTTTTTCTCGATTCATTCTTATTTTCGACGATAGGGCATCGCCGAAGTAACTATTACTCTGATAAAATTAATTCTTTGTACCCTAGAGTCCCTTTCGCGTATTAAATATCTTTTGTTTAATAGTCAACAGGAAACATCCGTTTTCAACGGAAGTACATTGTAATTGTAATGTAAATAATTTTGTGTCAAACTGGAACATGCAGACAATTAAAGCATGCAACAAAGGATAATTTAACAATTTTAGCCAGTGAAACGTTACAGATAGAGTTTTTGGACAGACATCTGTATGATATCATCGTTATTTTCTAAATGCACTTTGTCAAAAACCATGCGAAGAATATTCTTGATGCAGAAGGAACAGATTTCACAGATCATAACCTTATAAATGGGTTAGTGTTTTGTTTTTTGAATAAAACACAGCTTATTTTATGTTTATGACTGGTAGATATCATCACTTGTCTAAAGAATAAAAGAAAAACAGCTTCTCAAGTAGGCCTACAGTGCACTTAAACTTGCAAGGTAAGGACAGTTTAGTTATTGCTTCTCTTGGCTTATTTTTGTTACAGTTAGATTAAGTTGACAAATGCAGATCATCACAGTATTTGTTCGGGGTAATAAAATAAATAACACATGGGTTTGTGGGTAACAGTAAAAATATCACCCCTCGTATAAATACTGTTACCCTCGGCTACGCCTCGGGTAACAGTATTTTCCTCGGGATGATATTTTTACTGTTACCCACAAACCCATGTGTTATTGATATACTGTCATCTTATTGTTATTATATATATCAAACGTCTACTTTACAACCGAAAATGCAGATTTGTAACAATTCATTATTGGAACTTATGTTATCTACTTTCAGTTCATATATGAATGTGTAATAATTTCCTATAATAATTGTCAATAGCATATGTTTGTCAAAAAGTGGTCTTTATACACAGGATGATCCTTATTCTGAGGTGGTCTTTAACACAGGTTTAACTGTTGTTAATTGAGTTATCTATTTTTAAGCGTATCTTTCAATTGTAAAAGTCAATCTTCTCTAAATTGGCGAAGTAATGATGTTGCGGGTGCAAAATTTGTTACATGTTTCAGACTTTCCGTTTGGTTAAAATTTATCTTTTTGCAGTTAAATAGAATATAAGGAAAAAAGTAATCTCACGGAAGCATTAATAAATTAAGATCAGGAAAATTACATAAAAATTCCGTACTTGAGGAAGGATAATGAAAAAGAGCAACATTCCTCGCGCCCCCATGTTGCAGACCATTAAATACAGAGATACATGCCAAATAAAATGACATTGTTTTCTCTTTGACATTTTCAATTTTGCTGTATTTTGATATATGCACTCCTCTTTCACATTAAAAGAAAAATTTATAGTTTCTGTATCGGGTCATCTGAAACTCATCTCTTCTGAACTCGGGGTACCATTTAATGACCTCCAGATAAAGATTTTTTTTATAGATTTGATGAAATATATCTGTTTAAGCAAGTGTCTGATTAAGAACAAACCGTTAAACATATTTCACTCGTAAATATGTAGGCTTGACGGTCTAAGTCTTTCATACTAAACTTACATTTTAAAACGAAGTATTAAACTTACACCGGAGGCTTGTACTGCTTTGTAAATGTACTCATGCTGTATTCCATTGTCCATGTCTAACATAACGACTATGTTTTTCCGTTTCTTACTGTAAATATTACTTTAAACCAATAATCTGTTACATTTCTTTATTCCCTGCGGTCTGGAGACCGCAGGGTATTGGTACGCGTTTAACTTTTTCTAGGCATGGAGGAGCACGTGACCTGTTTTCGGTACATGGAGGAGCATGTGATCTGTAAACCGTACATGATTGGTTAATTGACCTTTTCGAAAACCTGGCTTAATACCGTGTGCCGGTACGTTACGGATTTACCTTTAGGTAATTAGTCAGAGTGACACCTAATTAAGAACAAAAAACTATACGCGGTATTTCTAATTTTCTATAATTATTTTACTGTTTAAGCTGGAAAAAAGTGAATGATGTGTTTGAAAATTATCAATGTTTCTTTAATATGTATCTCAAATTTTACAAACAATAAATTGTTTATACTGAAAATCTACAAAATTAAAATATTCGTAGTGGCATCTGCCAGAATAAATAGATTTATTTTCTGCGTAAACTTGTGTGTTTACTTTTTTTTGCTCGGAATTATTCATAAAATGGTAGGCCTATTTAATCATTTTCATAAAAAGAAATAATTGTTTTATGTTCGACCATCTCCGGTCACCAACGGTCACCAGTTTCCAAAGACCTTCTTCTATATATATTGATCGATTATTGTCAACTATATTCCTGATAAAACCGCGCGTTTATTTATTACCCCCAAACAATGTTGAGAATAGTTAAATGGAATATCTTTATATCATTAAAAATGTTCCCCGCAGGAAACCATTTTACTTGTAAATTATTTTTGGTGTGTTATGTACTTCATTTGAGGTGAACTGATCTCGTCAATATGTTGGTAGATTTATAAAAGAAAACAATTAAGTGCTCAGCTTTTTATCTTATCAAGTAAATATGTAATTGTGTTCCAATTAAAGAACTAAGTTTAAAGATTTAAAATAGATGATCGAAGCTCTCTAAAGATAATTTAGAGTGAAAAATAGATATAAAATATCAACATAAATCATAATCCTGCATGTTTAATATCAGCAATACCCTCTTGATTCTGTTAAGATTTAGTACTACACAGTTGATTGTAAATCGAAATATCTTGCTGCTTAGCTACGATGAAGAAGTAATACTTCAATGATAAAGCATGTGCATCATTATCATTGAAGATTTACATCACATAGCATATACATATAAACATGTATATATTAGGATTATTTCATTTTAACCATACATTCGATACTCATGTATTCGATATTACAAATACGAACCTGGCATGTATTTACTGAAAACACGGACAATAACAACAATATTTATTTGTTTAAGTTTATTTTAATTTCCTTATCGAAAAAAAAAACGCTCAAAATAATATTAAAGATTGTCTTAACGGGCATGCAAAACATGTACACGTTTTTTTGTGATTAAATTTATTTTAAAAGAAAAGAGAAAAAAAGATGGAAATTGGGTTTAATGGTTGACACGTTTTAGTGTTGACATTTCAATACACTTCTCATGGACACACGTTTATGATTTTCACGAAACAATTTCATTATAGTTGCTCTCTCAGGGGACACCACGCATTCCAGATGCCTTCAATTAGACACACTCTGCTTTCAGTGCATAGATAACACACAATCATCTCATTGCAAATATGTAGGTAATTACGTACATGATTAATAAATGACAGAGACAAGAAAACTAAAAAGACATTCGAGTAAAACATAACTGATATAATCGGTAATCATTTGTTTATCATGTGAGCATTCAGGAGGATTATTCGTTCAGAAAATGCTACTGAGCATATACATTTTTGTATTTGTGATAATTAGAAAATTTCAATTATCAAATGGACAGATTTTTGAGTAATGATAATAACTCTCTTGTGTAATGATATAACAGCTTTGTTCCATTTTCACAAAAGACTGGTAAAAACGTTGACAAATATAGTAAATTATCATGGGATGTAATCTATAACGTCAAGTGGTAACGACATGTTTTATTTGATATTGAAATAATTCTGATTAGATAACGAAAGTGGTTAGGTCATTCCTTTTATTGTAATAGTAACACAGATAATAGTCATTACTATAAAATGCACATACTGCATAGCTCTGTTTATTTTGCATACTCTATAAATACAATTCATTTTGGACACGTCGAACGCCGAAATACAAATAAATTGGATGTAATTGGATGAAAAACGACATTGAGGGTTTATATTTTATCAGAGTATTATTTAATATGTAATGATGCACATATGTGAATTAAACATGACGGATAAGGAGAGTAAATTAAGCATTCGGATTAACAGCATTCGTGAGTTTGAAGAACGTCACAATAAATCTAAGTAAAATATCACGGATAAAATGACTTTTTAAAATCATGTGCAATACAACAGAAGCTATACCGTCTGATATCATATTTGTCTCTAACTCTAGTCAGCTAGTAATGGAAAGTACATGTACGTGGAATGATACTGCCAATGTTACCACGACATATAGCGCTGAAGTAAACTGTGCAAGTCGTTTAGAAGATGACGTGTCTGATTATCTCTGGAAAATATTTCCACCTATTTTGTTTTGTTTTGGAATAATAGGAAACATTTTGACAGTGATAGTCATCAAAAGGCTTGGGTTTCGAAAACAACCGACCCTGACATTTCTTCTATGTTTGGCGATTAGTGATATTTTTGTTTTGTGTATCGGACTCCCGAGATACTGGATACTCTATGTATTTCAATTTGACTTGAGAACGGCAAGTAATGCCAATTGTAAACTTTATTATTTCTTTATATATATGACAATGCAGTTATCATCTTGGATCCTTGTTGGAGTCACTGTAGAAAGACTTATCAAGGTATATTTTCCAATGAAGTATCGACGTTTATTCAGTTACAAAACAATAATAATTGCTTTATTTGTAACATTGTTTATATTAATTCTAGTAAATGGACATTTCTTTTTCACGAACGGTATAAATGACTATACAGAAGGAGAGTGCGGTTCACTGAATCCAGACATTCAATATTTTGATGATAATGTCTTTACTTTTATTGACTTTTCTATTCTAAGCGCAGTGCCATTCTTTATTATGTGTGTATGTAATATTCTTCTTATTAAAGTTCTCAAGAAAACTCAGACTAGAAGAGTGTCGATGATGCATAGATCGGTGTATCAACGGACAACTAGGTTTAGTGTTAAAATGACGAAAATGTTAGTGGCGTGTACTTTGTACTTCTTAATTGCTACAACACCAATATCTATCTATTTTATACTTGATACGTACTTGTTACCAGTTTATGAAGAGGAACATAACTGTGTAGCGATTTCCAGAATGGACCTAGCCTGGAGTATCACGTATATACTTCAGTATTCGAACTCCAGTATTAATTTTTACCTTTATACAGCGACAAATGAGAGATTTTACAAAGAACTCAAAGCCTTTCTACGATGTCGTCGAAGGTATGTACATATATCATTTTTTCTTATTTTCATAATCGTTTTATTACATAGTTGTTTTGAATATATTCATTTTATGTGTTGAATATTATTATATATAAATATGACAGAATTGACTGAAGTCTTTATCTATACTTGATATCTATATCATGACTTTTATATGTCTTTTGGTTATGCAAAATTACATTAATGTAGTAGAAACTATGTTTAAATAACTTTGTTTACAATGCATATAATAAACGTTTCAATAAAGGTGGAAATCAAATGTTAAATTCGCAATTGTATAACTATCTTTTGTTCACATCGTCAACAGCGATTCGTTAGAAACAACAAATCTACATATCATCAGGCATTCAAGATGTTTGAGAACTGATTGTACAAACTATAACAGTTAAAGAAAATGAAGCATAATTGCTCTAGAGTGATATTTTCATTATGTCTTTTATTATTTTAGTTTACGCATGATGAGGGTATACAGTACTCAGAACAATGGCAACAGTGGTCGCAGACTAGCACGAATGACATTGTCTACAAGCCAAGGTCTGGACCTTTCTCAGTCGGAGGACAATAACAGTCATGTTTAACATTGCGATTATAATCATATTATATTCAAAGGCCCGTTATGCCTCAGATATGCTATCGTTTTTATTTCTCAAAATGTTTCAGACTTTAGTATCATGTTACAGTTTCAAAAAAAATGCTACCTTTGCTTATTTTGCTCTGTTGGCAGTTGTTATAATTATAGTGAATTAGTATTTTGTATGATAGTCAAAATACTACCTTGATTACATTCTGCTACCTATACACATTTCATATACACATTTAATTTCTACAGCTGTTAAACTAACTAGCTGTTTTAACATGCTATAGTTCCATTATAAAAACATTATATAATACATGCTTAACATTTCTAAAAAATGAAATAGATATGGATTTCAGAGGCGTAATGTGCCTATAAGATGATAAATTTTCTCAAATGTATGAGGTATATTTTTACAAAAAGACAACCTTTATAAATATTTGTTATTGTAAGAGATATGTAATACAACAGTGATCCTTAATGTTTGAGAAACAATGTAAAACCATAGAATTAAAAGAAATGATAAACATGAATTTAAGGATGATATTCAATATTGTATACATCTACCTTAACTTTTTGTTTTTGAATTTTTAAATATACTTAAAATCAATCGTGAGATCATATTGATTGTATTTGTTCACTAATATATTCTGCATGTTTGGAAAGGAGGATTATTTTTTAAATTTATCAACCAAAATACAGCATATTTATTGCCTTTCATTTGTGTTAATACATTTTAAAAGCCCAAAAGTAAGCTAATACATATAGCATTGAAGGAAAAGAAATAAAGAAAAGATGTACCCGAGTCGAGGAACACTTTTTCTAAAACAAAGGTAACATGCTAGAGATAAACATAACTTTTGAAAAGAAAGACACAATAACCGAATAACAATGAAGTAGATACTTAAAATGTCCTAACACCCTTTGGTTTCTATATGATCTCGAAAAAACATTAGAATATAAACAAACGTATGACAATTTCGATTTACACAAATACTTTTTACATCTGATCAAATAACATTTGAAAATGTGTTAATATCTGAAATGGCAGCGCTCAATTTCCATATAAAAGGTTGGCTTATTGTTCCAAAAGAACAAGTAGAAACATGATATTTTTATCCACAGTAATAGGAATATGAAATTTATTGAAAGCTTGTGCATAGTTTAGATTAAGTTCAGTTCTCAGCGATATAAATGAAAAATAATATGTCTACTTTTTTTCAGTCTGTCAGACATGTAAGACAATAATTCAACAGGATGAAATGTAACCGTTTAACAATTTAATTTGACTTGTCCAGTACTAACAATAAGCAATTTTATGAATATTAAAGGGTATAAATCTATATCTTATGAAATATTTTAATAAAATTTATTAACAGTAAAATTATATTGGTTCCATTATTATATAGTTGATTCCCGAAAAAGTTGTAACATAGAATGTCTCTGTTATTTAATACACATGAATAATGTACGTAAACAAAATTAAATGTTCTGGAACAAAATATTTTTTTGCTATTTTAAGTAGGCTTTTATCCGTTTAGCAATGGTTTTGTGCATGAGCCATTCGCTTTTAAAGCAATAAATTACCATTTCTATTTCATACAAGCATTTTTGAAACTTTACTTTTTTAAATTCAAACAATAATGTTTGCATCAGATATATAGCTTTATACACTTTAAGATGAAAATTTACAATTATTCAACTAACATTATAAAGCATGGTCTGCACGGATGTGCATTACTAAACATCTATTTCACTATACGTTTAAAATAAGGAAATATGTTTATTTTGACCTCCTGCCAAGGAATGGTATTTTTCTCTTAAAAAGGAACAGGATTAGTTTTATCTGGCTTAAAATGTTATACATGGAGACAATATATATACTTGTATTGTATGTAAATCTTTAAATGTTTGAAATATCAACATGTATGTGTTTCGATTTAAGATTATCTGATTGCTCTCTGTCAGAAACAAGCCTGCAAAGGAAAGGAATTTGTTACATTTGAACTTTAGTTTAAACAATATTTTATTTATAATCCATACATTTACATAAAAAAGAACATAAAATAAATTTACGGAATGAGTAGGAAGCTTGTAAAGCTTTTTTGAAAAGTCTCTCCGTAATCAATTGAACTTTGACAAAGGAACCATTTCTTTTGATTGATGTTACTTCATTATGTTTTGAAAAAAAACTACAATATCAAAAATAACTTAAAATATTATTATACAAAGGAACATTGTTTTTAAAGAATAAAAATCAATGGACAAAGAAATAATTTTTCAACTAGTTTCAATGTTAATTTGAAAACAACTTCAAATACACGGATATACATAGATTCTATTTACAACTAGCTGATGACAAAAAAGTGAACTGGGGAATGCGTGCATGAATATTGAACTTTCAACAAACCCTTTTATCATAAATTTCGTTTGCTTTTGTTTGCATCATTTTTTCTTTGATAACCATTAAAGCATTTCAACAAAGGTATATATACGATAAAACACTTGTATAAAGATGAGAATAAAGATTTACAAAGGACAGCATAATATAGCATTGAAAGTCGTACATTTTAAAGATATACTATGCTCATCCTTACGTAAAGTATTTTTATCACAGAAATTTATTGAAAGCTATGTAATTCTTACCAAATATGTCCACTTTGAATAAAAGAAAGAATAATTATGTATTGGAAGTTGCGTTCCCTATTACAGGTCATGTAAAATTGGTCTTTTCTTAAAAGCAACGCCAGTTTTTTTTTAAATGACATTATATTCATGTTGTAACCACCTATATAGTGTGTAGAATTTTAAACACAACATATCTACTTTATGTGAAGTTTAAACATGTTTATTTTATATTTACAAAGAGACTGTGTAACAATTATGAATATTTTTAAATATGAAATTCGAGCGTAGTATATCATTAAAGATACAATACGAATCGTTTTGTTTAGTAATTTTTATTTACTATTCCTGTTATTGATTGTATGAACATGTGTTTTGTCACGTGTCAAAAAGGATAGTCCTGTTCTATCCATTATGAAATATTTCTGATAAGATAAAAAAAGATTATATCGTTGTTCGGATGATAAATATGATTATGTAAATATATTCAGTACAATTCGTTATATAAGTATGTGTATGTAACAACATGCATTATTACGAGTTGATAAATCAGTCCTTTAAAAAAGTTAGTATATAAACACAACACATGGCATGCTTTGGTATCGATATCATGATATAATGAAATACTAATGATGACTTTAAAACTTTAAGACTAGTGTAAGAATACAAACATAAACATAGGATAATAATAAATCTTTATTTTTCAAAAACAAAAAACTTTCAAAAACATATCAAATAAACCTGAATTATTGATTAAATAACAGATGTACCAGGACATATATTTATGTCCCCAAGATGACACAAAATATTGGGTATGAACTAACTTAAACTTCACAACCATAATGACGTGCTGTCATTGTTTCAAGTTATATGTGTGTCACGGTGGTAACATAGCTAACAGTATTTTTTCACAGTAAAATATATAGAAACAGTGTACCTATGAAATATTTGTTTTATGTAATAAAATAAATAATACATTGGTTTGTGAGTAACAGCAAGAGTGTCCTCCCTTTACTTGCTCTAAAGAAATATCGCGTTGTAAAAAAAGGTCTATAAAGGAAACACAAATAGCATTTATAAGCATATAAAAATAAATTATCACAATATGAAGAAGACTTTCTTCACTCTATTTTAAAGATTTTTTTTAAAGATACCTTGCACTGTGTCAGATTGGTCGTATTCTGTATATCTTGTAGTAGTTTATTGCACAGGGAGCAACCATTGTAGGAAAAGGACATTTTATCAAATCCTTTTACTTTAGGAATTCTGAAACACGACCCTTTACTAAACCTGTTATAATTATGAATAATAATGTACTTATCTGGATAGGTATTGAATGTATCGATTTAAAATGTGATACTCTTACATTTTATGCTACACAACCCTTATAAAATAATTTTAAGATGATACAGTGTATGAAAATGAAACTACAATAGAGAAAATAAATATCCTTAAAGAACGCCTAAAACGGCATTTCAAATGTTTGAGGCTTCATTGAGCCTGTTCATGGACGGCACTTGAAAGTGCATGTTACCGTCAATGCCCCCTGAAGCAGAATTCAACATTTAACATAAAATGGTATCATTTTTTTAAATTAAGAAACATTCGCAGGGGTGATCCTGTAATCTTTAATGAGACAATAGTGTCATTCCATGCAAAGCGGAGTATGGTCTCAAGTAAAAAAGGCATGTAACATTATCGAGAAAACAATACGCGACACTAAACAAAATGCAGTTTGAAAGGGGTTCAGATGGAGGTTATGAAGCCTGCACAATAACAAACAAGAGGGTCGTGATGGCCCTTATATCACTTACCTGATATTGAGACCCTAAAAAGTCGCTGGTACATTTAATCAGAGTTATATTTCCGATCCTTAAAGATCGTTCAATACGATATTATTGTAGTGTTTGTGGTATTTTTATTTTTAACTATTTGGCCTTTTCTAGTTAAATGGTTCCAATATTCATATTTGAATAATGTTGAATCACCTTTAGGATATGTTGCCTACGTTTTAACTTTTTAATATCATAATCTTAAACCGATATCCTAACGTTCATATCTGCCCCTGAAATAGTGCAACATAATAAAAACAATGTATTTCCATACATGGGCTATTACATTTATAATAATAACGAATAACAAGCAGATTTAATGTCGTTACATAAACTGATATCATAACGTTCATATCTGCACTTGAAATAGTGCAAAATAATGAAAACAATGTATTTCCATACTAGTATACAGGATGTGTCACCTAGTTTTTAACCCCAGATGACCCAAATTCGAACTTGACATATTAATCATTTTAGCATTCTTGTTGACAAATTTCCTGGACATTTGGGCTGTAAATATAACATTTAACAAGGTTTGTCCATATCTGGACTCTGTGGTCTAGTTTCTGACCCCTGATATCTATTTTCAAATACAAATCAACTTAACAACCTTTAAGGCAATTTCCAGAATATTTGCGCTGAAAATATTGCATCTAAAGTGTATACGAGTTTTTCCATAATTGGACTGTGTGGCCAATTTTCTGGCCCAAGATTAATTACATCAAAACATGAGCTAGAACTTTTCATAACAAACGTTCTGACCAATTTCAAGGATATTTGGACCGAAACATTAGCAACTAGAGAGTTAACAAGGTTTTACCATATTTTGGGCTATGTGACCTAGGTTTTGACCCCAGGTGACCCATATTCGAACGAGATGAATCATCAGAACACTCCGACCAATTTACGGGATATTTGGACTAACACAGTAGCAGTATTAACAAGATTTTTCAGCATTGCAATACTGTCAAGAACGGACTTGTACGTATCAGCGCTAGTAATTAAAGCTGCATGTCTCCAGTTGACCCAAAATACGTATTACAAGGAAATAAAACTTGAGCAAGCTGTTCTATGTTTTAAGAAAAGTGAATATTTACATGTTTTGTGCAATTAATGACCGGTTTTGCAGTACTTAACATCATATCTTTACTGGGTGATTAAGGCCGTAAGGGGTAATTTTGCATATTTTACTACTTTTTTTGGTAATTAACGTGAATTATACGAGGCATTTGTAATGTGAAAATTATTTTCTTTGTTTACCTCATAATGTTTTGAATTCAAATACATTTCTTAATTTTTAATTGAAATTAATTAGCATCGTATATTAATTAGTATCGGGATATGTTAAGGCATTAAACCAGCATTTTATACCACCTTATTGTTCACAGAGGAAGGGTCCTTTAAAAGGGATTGATATCCAAATGCAAATCCTGCTTTACCCCTGGGATAGGATAAGCGTAGTGGACAATAGATGGTATCTGGGAGTCTATGACATCTCGACCCCTTGACACCTCGACCCCTTGACATCTCGACCCCTAAGACATCTCGACCCATGACACTTAGACCCCTAAGACACATAGACCCCTTAAATTGACTGGACATTTCGACCCCTTTTTCCATAATATACTTGAAGACGTTAACTTCGAAAAATTAATGTGCATAAAGACGTAAATAAAGAAAAAGGTAAATTTGTTTACAAGTTTTATTATTATATATAATCTATGGATATACTGAGTAATGAGTGTAATCATATTAAGATACAATCATTCATCAAGTCAAGTATTTTATATAAGGAATAGAAACACACGCACTACATTTAAACAGAAAGTATATTTAATATGTATATATGTACTCATTATCATAATGTCATAAAAACAGTAATTGCAAAAGAAATTGTGAAGTTATTTTTCTGATATAAATATCTATCAGTCGTTTTGTAATGCACCTTTTTCTACGCAAATATTGTCATTACTTCCATGTGCACTTGTTAATTTTTGTAAATCGAACTACTAATATCAGAAAATCTTAGGCTTATTGGTTCTTTAAATACTATATTCAAATGAAAAACATGTACTTGAGTTATACATGAAGCAAATAATATATTGTCGAGGACGTTAGTTCGAAAATTATTAATGTATCGGGAACTTTTCTATCGCTACAAATCACTACGTAAATCGTAATAAACAACGAAAAGTAACACAAAACTTTCGAAAATTAGTGAGACTCAGGTCAATATTGCCAAAAAAAAATAGTAATGTAAAATTTTTTTAAAAAAATTCCTTTAAATCTGGGGGGCAAAAAAAAAAAAAACCTGAAGAAAAAAAAAAAGTCCACAAAGCAAAATCATACATAGCAACTAATACCAGTACAGAATAAATGTATCAACATAACTGGAATCTAATCTTTATTTTTCACCAGGTGTATTCGAACAAACAAGTGTTTTACTTGTCTTTTCCGTCTTCATTAATTTTTCATATGACATTTGTGTTAGATACATTTTAATTTGATATAATAATGATATCGATTTATCAATGCTCATGCTCTTAATCATGTCTGTCCTGAATGGCTATGAATATATAATATTAAAATTTTATATATTTTAATAAAATAATTAAACGGGGAATGTTATAACAATTTGCTTTCCAAAATCAGAATAACCCCGTTAAAATAGGAAATGCAGCTTCTGTGTTATTTTAGCACACAAACAACATCAATTATTTTATTGGCAGAATGTTTATCACAGGTTGTTAAAAGTACCGATATTTAAATTACCAAAGAACCACGTGGCCCCTGAATGTTTTATTGTCCCAAGGGCGTCTCAAACAATTTTTAGATATATTGATTAAAAGAGGAACATGAAATTTGAACTTTAAACATATTTAAATAAAATTTTTCTTAACTTTGTTACGATCGGAAAAATTATTGCTTTTTGGGAAACTTATTATTGGCAATATTTCATTTAAAAACTATGAAAAAAAATGGGAGATAAAATAAAAAAGGGTTGGTTTGTAAAAAAGGCTTTTTGGGTTTTAAATTTAAATTTTTTTAATTTTTACAAATTATATAAGAAATAGAAAAAGCCCTTTTCTTTTGGGGTTTTTTGGGGGCTATAAATTTTCCTAGCCCCCCTTGACCCCTTGGGACCCCCCTTTGACACCTCGACCCCTTAGACATCTCGACCCCTGACACTTAGACCCCTAAGACACTTAGACCCCTTAAATATACATGACATTTCGACCCCTTAATTAATGTATTGTTATATTAGGAAAGACCGTGCTTTTCTAAAAATAAAATACAAAGTAATGACTATGTTAGAACATTTTCAGCCGTTTATTTATAATTTATGTATATTATCTACCAAAACAGTAACACAAATAAATATGCATGTACACACTTTACAATGAAATAACAATACATAGAATACGCAGACACTATCACTCTCTTTATATACATGTAGGTAATAACTACAATATTTACAATATAT